GTTCTCAAATTAAAGTTAGTGTATCTTTTCTAGTACTTGAACAATAGATGGCTCAAGAAACATTTTGCTAAATGGGTGAGAAAGAACGGATGAAGCATCAGATGCACTCCTTGCTATAACGGAAATAGTTTTTCAAGGGCTAGCTTGCAATGCTATGGACTTTCAGCAAACTGAGACTATGGTAATGATTATCCAACAATTAATAAATATTGACACAGGACTACTGTATCATGCCCATTACTGTGCATGGCACAGATCTCGTTTTGGTTTCTTAGAGAGCAGAACATGTTGGCTCATCAAAGTCCAAAGATAACCACTGCCCACATTTGTAGCAGTGAGCCCTCCAATAATCTGGAAGGTGGTTGTTAGAGACGATTGCCAGGCTGTTCAAAACTGACTGACAGGCAGTAACGATGGCAACACATCACAGACTGAGTGCCTGCCATGAGCCTAGTGCAGTTTTAAATATTTCCCATGTACTAGCTGTGTTGGGCCTGGGCCCCCACACTGGCCCCAGCCTCAGAGAGGTAACCTGTGAAACTCTTGATATACTTAAGTTCAGTTTGCAATTAAAATTCCTACACCATCTGTCCATCCCAGCACCAAAGTACTCACCCCGGGCATCCTGCTTTGCTATACCCTAACTGGGAGATGCTCTGATCCAGTGAGAACGAGGATCAGTTATGGAATGGGCAGACCAGGAAGGGTGGGTGGCCCAAGTTCCCAGGCTCACTTAACTGAACCAACCTGACTGACTTCTCCCTGAGGGACTCCTGTTCCGGGAAGCACCAGTCCCCAGGAGCCTACATACAAAGAGGCAAAAGAAGCACAGGAGCTATTGCAGAACATTAATATGCCTTTTGTCCTAAGTCTGAGATAGGAAATATTAGAGCAAAATGGAGCCTTAACTCCAGCAGCAGCATGGCCACCAGAACTCCCGCTGAGTAGCATCTGCTTCAGGGTTTCTCAACCTCAGCACTACTGACATTGGGGACAGATAATTCTGTGTCAGGGGTGGGTGTCCTGTGCACGGTAGGATATTTACCAGAATCTTTGGTCTCTACTCACTGTCAGAAGCACCCTCACCCCGCGGTTACAAGGACCAAAGACATGTGTGTAGACACTGCCCGATGCCCCCAGATGTACAGCCACTGATCTACACGAATGCTGTTTGGCTCTCTCTCTGCCTCACCCACAGCTCAAAGACTAAAAAAACAACTCCCAACACAGACCCCAACTTTTCTTCCCCTTTTCCTCACCTGGCTACAGACCTTAGGTTCCTTGGGAGGATGAGGAAGTGGCAAGGACACAGAGCCAGAAGAGAACCAGGAGAAAAGCCCACTGAGCTGTCAGCACCCCAAGGGCAGAAACGGTCGGTTTTATGTGCTGCTGTACCCCAGCCCCTAGCACAGTGCTGGGCACATGGCTGGCACTCCAGATTTGCTGAATCAATACATCAACCAATGAATGAACAAATCAACGGGTGAAAGACTGGGACAATGCTAATTGTTCAAGATGAATTCTAGAGGCCCTTGCAGGCCTGCCGACTCTGGATGACTCTTCCCTCAACACCCCTCCAAATTCCCTAATAGCAGTACCTTCTCTTCCCGCCAGGCTGGTAATATAGTCCAGTCCATCTGCAATATGGACCTTCATCCGGTCACTCTGGGAGAAGCCAAACCACTGGGTGGCCACTTCCAACACGGAGGGGTCGATCTCTACAGCATCAACGCAGGACTTCGGGAAATGATCGTGGACAAACAGGGGGAGGCTGCCCCCACCCAGGCCTACCACCAACAATGCCAGTGGGGTCTCTGCAATAAAGAAATAAAGCATCATTTGACAATCTGCTCCCTGAAAGTTTCGTACCAGCCTTGGGGAAGGCAAAGGAGGGAGTTGGATTATTGGCTCTGCCCAGGGGATACAAGATTTAGAGGCCCAGCCTCTGTCTCATCCCAGAACTTTAGGGCCAGTCTGACATCTGAAAACTCAACCGTGGCCTCACAATCCTTCCTTTACTAGATCCAGAAGCTGTGTGTTATTATTACAGACGCTTAAAGATCCCAAAGCACTCAGCTGACATCATACCAAGAGTCCCCACCATAAGCATTATTAGATTTCCCCTAGGAATTGGGAGGGACAATGGCCAACATCTCGCTCATGATCACAAGGCAATGTAGATGCAATGCCCTCTGCCCACCTTTCAACTCAAAGGCCACAGCTGCCCTCTCAGAAACATCAATCCACCGACGGCAATCCATCCAAGTTCCAGAAATCACGGGAAAACAAAGGCCCAAAACCTAGTCCTAGGTACAGAGAAACCTCAGCAATCACAGGCAGACAGAAGACAAGAAATAAGAAAGAATCACCGAGAAGAGACATTAAATGTAAGATTAATATCTGAGGATTAAACCTAAGAACTGAGACTCCAGGGACATACATCAACACCAAGATAGGCTGGGAGTACAGGATGTTTCAGTAAGACATACTCAGGACTTTGGGTGAACAGTTACAAGCCCAGATAGAAAAATGAACATTTTTGCTACTGTGGTCAAATCCAAACCTGTTATTAGTAATAAGGCTATGATTGTTCTACCTATAATATAGATTTTTTATTTATTTATTTTTTTAAAGATTTTTATTTATTTATTGAGAGAGAAAGAGAATGATAGAGAGAGAGCATGAGAGGGAAGAAGGTCAGAGGGAGAAGCAGACTCCCTGCTGAGCAGGGAGCCCGATGCGGGACTCAATCCTGGGACTCCAGGATCATGACCTGAGCCGAAGGCAGTTGCTTAACCAACTGAGCCACCCAGGCACCCAAATAGAAATTCAAGAAAGAATTGCAACTGGTGCTCAAATAATACATTACTGAAAGCCAGAAATTCTTCTCAAGTGCACAAGAATTTCTGGAGTCATGATTTTTAAATGTTCCATCTGGTTACATGGGTAGACACACATGCAAACACTCATCAGGGGCGCCTGGGTGGATCAGTTGTTAAGCGTCTGCCTTCGGCTCAGGTCATGATGCCAGGGTCCTGGGATCAAGCACCGCATCAGGCTCCCTGCTCAGCAGGAAGCCTGCTTCTCCCTTTCCCACTCCCCCTGCTTGTGTTCCCTCTCTGTGTATCTCTCTGTCAAATAAATAAAATCTTAAAAAAAAAAAGAAACTCATCAAACTGAACAACTTACAATCTGTGTACTTTGTGTATCTCACTGAATACATTTTATACTTTAATATTTTAAATAAATGAATAAAAGAAAAAATTTAGACATCCAGAGGTGCAGCCATTTTGAGATTACAATCTGAGTTTGAGGGAAAAGCTACTGGATGTTTATTAACTCAGAAGATTGGGAAGAAGAAAACTATGAATATATGTGCATTTGTTGGTCTGTAATCGCTGTGCTCAAACCACAAGACAGCTGTCATCTTACACGCCCCCTCCTGTGGCAGAGTCTCATTGGTCACCGCTTTTCGCTCCTGGCACCTCATTGGCTGAGACGCACTCACCACAGCGGAGTCTCCCTCACCTAGGAGCAGCTCCGGGTTTCTGAGCAGGGCAAGGCCCGCAATCATTGCTTTGTGGTGTTCACAGCACAGGTAACTCGTCAATGGACTGCCCTGGGGCTGTGGGGAGGTCCTCTGGAGTGTCAGCAGGCCGCTGCTTCTTCCTGTCCTTTTTCCGTTTCTTCTGGGCTAAATGAGAGATAGAGATGATGAGGTCCTATGCTTGGCACTCTAGTCCGTGGAAAGCAAGCCATACCAGCAGCACTGTGCTGTAGCGAGCTTGATCCGACTCAAGAACCCAGCTGCTAAATATACACATATTTTGTGACTTGGTTGACATGTTGGTTCTTTGAAATCTGCCAATGGTGGCCATTTTTATGCCACAGAAATAAACAAACAGTACATATTAGGGCTCCCCCCCCCGAAAACACAGTTGTTAAACATTTAACACATACCACTGCAGACCAAAGACTCAGAAAAGGAAAAGTGGGGTGCCTGGTAGCTCAGTCGGTTAAGCGTCTGCCTTCGGCTCAGGTCATGATACCAGGGTCCTGGGATCAAGTTCTACACCCGACTCCCTGCTCCTTAGGAGTCGGCTTCTCCATCTACCCCTCCCCCTTGCTTGTGCTCTCGCTCTCTCTCTCTCTCTCTCTCACTCTTTCTCAAGTAAACAAATAAAATTATTTAAAAAAAGAAAGAAAAGGAAATTAAAGGAAAAGTGGCAAAAACGCACCCAAAACCCTGGGAAAACTGAACTGGGGAGTCCTAGCCCCTTGACACTGAGAAATAGAAGGCCACTAACAGGAAAAATTTATTCATAAATCCTTTCAGAGAAGGACTGAAAGTCACTAATTACCTCCTCCATGCCAATTACTATACTAGGACTTCTAGTTATTTAACTCTTATAAAAACCTTATAATACCCATGTTAGACAGACGAAAAACTGAGGATCTGAAGAGTTAATGATTAGGCCCAGAAATAGTACAAGGTGCAGTCAGGATGTGAACCTGGGACTGCTTATCTCCAATGCCTATTGCCTTTTACTGTAGGGTACAGAGAGTAAGACACACAGCCCTGCAGGAGGAGAGAATCACAGGTGCTCACAAAAGGGGAGAAATCCTATTAAGGCCCCACTACTTTCCCTCCAATATATAGTAACCAGATATTCATTTTCTACTCTATATCTGGATTTTTGAATTGATTACACTGAACAGTAGACTGAGCCACCCAGGTGCCTTTACTCTATTTTCTAAAGCCAAACTTAAAACACAAGTTGTTGCCTCCCGCTCTGTGGAGCAATCGCCCACTGAACCTTCAAACTTCGGCCCCACTGTCACCATCTCTGGAAAAGCTGGTGGGAAATGCATAAGCCTTGGACTGAATGGGGCTGAGTTTAAATTCCCATGTGACCACTCACTACATGTATGATCTTGGACAAGAAACGCGCTCAGAGCCGCAGTTTCCAAATCAATACAATGAATGAACCGTACAGAGTTGTTGAGACTTCAACCGTTGAAGGCACATACACACACACAGCACTCAGCATAAGTCTTGGCACTTAGAGCATCCTCCACGAATGTCACCTTTCTATCCTTCTTTCTTCCCCACCTCCAGTACACTTCATCTCCATCAAACCCCTAGCATTGTACTTAGCAGTTGTCACTCCTGGAACGTGCCTTGGGGTTCTTGTTGCTGAGGAGCTGAGCACAGTGCCTGAAACTCAGTGTGCCAGCAACAACCACTCCGTTAACAGACTCAGGTATCAGTAAAGCCACAGGTATTATCTGCTCTACAGAGACGGACAGTGACAGAAACGCACACCACTGCTCGAGGAGGCGATAGCTAGGTGGGACTACTAAAGTCTCTGTTCCAGTGGGATTACTAATTCAAGCATGAGCTGGGAGCAGGAGGTCTCTTACCTGAAAACCTTTAAAAGAACATTTTAAAACTGCCTTTTAGCCGAGTGACGCATAGAACCCGGAAAATACGGGCCCCGTTTGTTACCAAAATACGGGCCTGTCGCTATCCACCGAGGGCAGGATTAAAGCTCTCGTTCCCACATTCCCGAGCACACACTCGGGACCGCCAGGCCGCGCTCACCTTCTCTCTGGGTTTGATGTATTTGTGCAGCACCCCGCACAGCTCCAGGTAGCTTCCATACCACTCGAAAGCTCTCCTTCCTCGCTGCTGGAAGAACTTCTCCCAATAGTCAACGGAGCCGAACTCCTGGCAGCTTTTGGGTAAGAGGTTCATATTGTCACTGTCCGAGCGGCGCCTTCAAGACCCTCCTACTCGCCCTCTGAGGTACCATCGGTTAGGCTTCCACTCACGCTGGCGCCGGCCCCCTACAGTGGAATTCTTCCCAAGACCAATAACCACACTGATTTATCCCCCGCTCAAAACCCAAAGAGAACACGTCAGCCCCACGCGCGAGACACTGAACCCAACACCCTCACCCGTCCTCCCGGCTCACAGCCCCCGCCCCACGTGCGGAACCCCTCACACTCCCTCAGAGCGAGGTTTCAGAACCCGCAATCATATCCGGGTGCCAGGCGTCGCGATTGGTCGGCCACGCAGACCCTCCCAGCGTCTCATTGGTCACCGCTTTTCGCTCCTGGCACCTCATTGGCCGACACGCGCGCGCCACACGCCGGCGGAGTCGTCGCGGGCGTGGAGCGTTCCCCGGCGTGCGGCGAAGGGGGCGGGGCCACGGGCCGGAGTCCGGGCGGAAGAGGCCCCGCTGCCTCGTCTGCAGATTGCGTCCGAACGCCGCGCGAGGGCGGCCTTCCCCGTTCTGAGCTTTTCCTCCGCAGCGGAGGCCGCCCTGACCTCCCGAGATCTGTGTTCGCTTGCGGGCCGAGAGGGCCGTGCGGGCCTCGTGGCCACTTCTGATCTTGAAGGGCCGAGCGCGGCCGGCGGGGCAAGCGGGGAGGACGAGGCCCCGGAAAAGAAAAACCAGTAGAAGGACGTGAGGCAAGGAATGAGTAGAGCCGGTCCTTAGCAAAAGAAAGCCATCCTAGCCAGGTTCTCTTCTGCGTCTCCGGCCCCACCCTCCCGTAGTTCAACCGCTTGACTTGGATAATTGAGGTTTATTTTGGAGAAAACTGGCACTGGGCGGTATTTTTTCTGAACTAAAATGCAGGATTCCACTATTAATGTAGTGACGTGAAAACTCACAAGAGGAAGAGCAACCACGCATACAGAGGTGCCTCCTCACTTTCTTCTCCCCCCAAAGCACAACATGCAAATTTCAAACTCATCTTGACAATCAGCCTCCTTGGGTTGTCATTGCGGTGTCATCTATCAGTAGTTGCTACTACTGTTGCTACTGCTTCCTTGATGTGTTTAATGAACAAAGTACTTTCAGATGCCCATCTTATCCTAATACCCTAAGGAAGTTCCTGTGACCGGCACATGTGCCAAATATGAGCATCGCTGGGCTTTTCACAACACTGAATTGCGGAGGGAATGTACACACCGAGCAGGACACATATGCGTGGAATGGGCATCTCTAGTCTGGGCTATTACAGACGTCAGGAGCAGAGGTAGCCAAAAGGACTATGAATCCTTAGAGTGGACTTAAACTTTGGTTTAAGAGAGTAGTTCTCAAGTTTTGGCATGCATCAGAATCACTTGGAAGACTTATTAAAACAGATTGCTGAGCCCCACTTCCAGAGTTTCTCATTGATCAGGACTATCCTGAGGTCTAAGGATTTGCATTTCCAGCAATAGTGATACCAATGATTGGTCCAGGACCACATTTTCAGAACTACCGACTCAAAATATAAGAGAAGAGTCACAACGAATTTAGTTCCCACTCCCCAACTTTGACAGGTTACTCTAAGAGCCCTCTACAAGTGACATCAAAGAAAATCTATCTTCATGTACCACCTGTTGAGTTCATATTGTTTCCTTTCAACAAAGAAACTGGAAAGGAGCCGCTGAGGTGGCTTCAGCTAGTGCATCATGTAGAGTTCCTAATGAGTGAGATATGGGTCCTTTCAGAAAACGCTGATTGAGAGCTGAGGACACTGATTTGCCTGAAGTGCTTCACAGTACCAAAAGTAAAAACATTTAAACAACAAACAAACAAACAAAAAGCACAGCCTCTGCCGTCTCTGCTGAGGTTTTATTAAATTCATCAAACATTTAAATTGCCTAGGATGAACCAATCTTTGTGATAAAGCTAAGGATACGGTGGTAAGCAAGGCAGTCACCTGGTAGGCACACATCAAACAATTACAAAAATAATGTGTATGAGGGTTGTGGTGAATGCTGTGAAGGAGAAGTATAAGGTTCTGTAAGAGCAGATACCTTCCAGACCTCTTCTGCTCTGGAGGTGACCAGAGAAGGCTTTCCTGGGAAGGGACAAAAAGTTTCTCTGATCTGTCAGTTTTGGTAAACACTGCACATCTGAACTTGTTCTAGTAGTATCCGCATGACATTGGTAAGAACCAAGTATTTCACCCCCTGAAGATCTCTTCAGGAGCCTTTGGCTCCTGCTTTTCCCTGTGTCTCTAGTGTCCTTTCTCTTAATGGCTTGATATTGGAAAGATAGTAAGAAGTGATTTCTGTCATAGCCCAGGCACCAGCCCCTTATTTAACGCCTTTATTTTTTGCACCGTGTTTCAGACTAAGAGGATAAGTAATTTACCTATCGTCGCCTCTGTCTGCTCCCTTCTTAGAGCCTAAGGAAGCAGTAACAACCACAGAACTTTAAGCTAAAAGTCACTACGGGTCCTAAAATGTAGGAATGGCTCTTGCAGAAATGATTTACATATAGCATTAGACTCTGTCTTTTAAAATACTTACATTTGAAACATAGTGCTTTTGACTATAAAATATAATTAAGCAGTATCATTAGTATAGTTAGTTTAAGCTAATTAGATATTAAAATGGGTTGTGTTTTAGGGGCGCCTGGGTGGCTCAGTCGTTAAGCGTCTGCCTTCGGCTCGGGTCATGATCCCAGGGTCCTGGGATCGAGCCCCGCATCGGGCTCCTTGCTCAATGGGAAGCCTGCTTCTCCCTCTCCCATTCCCCCTGCTGTGTTCTCTCTCTCTCTCTCTCTCTCTCTCTCACTGACTCTCTCTCTCTCTGTCAAACATACACAAAATCTTAAAAAAAACATGGTTTGTGTTTTATTAGGATCTCCAGAGTGGGGACCAGTGTGCTTTATAAGGCAAAGTGAGCATACATATGGCCATTCAATGTCATGGTTTTTTTTCCCCAAAAATATAAATCCAGACCTCTAAATATGTAATTTGCAACTACTAGTCTTACTTAATTTAAAACATAAGGTTTTAGGAACAACATTCAATTAATCGATTTTGCTAAAATAATTGCAAAATGAGGCATAATAAAAGCATTTCCTGAGTATGGGGGACAGAGAACAGGATAGAGCTTGTGACAGAATAACATTTCCCCATAGATGTGTATGTCCTAATTCCCAGAATTGGTGAATAAATCAGGCTACGTGGAAAGGGGAATTAAGTTTACTAAGCATCTGACATTAAACTGGGAGACTAATCTAGATTATCCAGGCAGGCCCAATGTAAACACAAGAATCCTTCAAAGTCCTTAAAAGTGGAAGAGGGAGGCAGAAGAGGGAGAACCAGAGAGGTAGCATGAGAAGGATCAGTGCAACATCACTGGCTTTGAAGATGGACGAGGGGGCTGGGAGCCAAGGAAAGGGCCTGCCAGCCTATGAAAGCTGGAAAAGCCAAGGAAAAGTATTGTCCCTTAGAGCCTCCAGAAGCAACTCAGCCCAGTACACACCTTGATTTTCGTCCAGTAGGACCCCATCAGGCCTCTGACCTCCAGACCTGGAAGACAATGAATTTGCATTAAGATATTAAGGTTCTGGTAACTGGCTACAGGAGCAGGAAATACTACAGAGCATATACAAGAGAGGGTATGGGTGGTTGGGCAGAAGGTTACACTGGGAAGAATGCAGCAGAAGATAAAACTGGGAACTGAGGTGAACAGCACATCAGTTTTCAGAAGTCTTCCGTTCTGAGCATTTAGATTAAAGCTGTCAGGCCTTAAGAAGCCAATGGACAACTAGGGTCATGACAGAAAGAACTGATATGAGAGAAGTTTTGAGGAAGAACAGAAGCATCTGATGTGTGATCCTGTCTAGGGAATAAAAGACCCGAGGACTCAAAATGGCATCCACATTAGCCTCTGGATGACGGGGGTAATTGCCTATACAAAGGAACAGGGAAGGAGAAAGGAGGTCATTTGTAGAACTGTTGCTTGAGAGGAAATTAGAAGCTATCATGCTAGCCACAGCTGGCTACAAGCCAGTCTCCCCGCCCTGCAGGCCTGTCCCAGGGCTCATACCCTTCCAAGTGGACTTAGCGGTCCAAGCCATGAAAATACTTCATGCGTGGGGTGTAAAACTATTTAAAGGGAATCTCTCCTTGGTGTCCAGGGCGTGGCTCATCCAGGGCTGGAAGTAATTTCAGACTGGAAGTCTTTGCAAATGACTTTGTTTTCCACATTTGAGAAGTTAAGAATTGAATGTCTCCTGTCTCTTAGAAGAATGGAAGGCAGGCGTGGTATTCTAGGATAATGTACCATTTTATTAGCTGGCATCGGCACTTGCTTAAAGGTATTCTTGACCTGAGAAGTATTGCTCAAGCTGACACTGGATTCCTAAGATCGGGGTAATCCTAATAGTATTTTTTAGTTTGCCTAGCACTTGTACTTTACCATGAATTTCCTCGCACATTACCGTGAATTTGCAGGATGGACACACGTGGACACACACACATCATTGAGGCAAAACTCTAATTGATTAAAAATAAATTTAAGGGCACCTGGGTGGCTCAGTGGGTTAAGCAGCTGCCTTCGGCTCAGGTCATGATCCTAGGGTCCTGGGATCGAGTCCCACGTCAGGCTCCCTGCTCGGCAGGGTGTCTGCTTCTCCCTGCCCCTCTGCCTGCCGCTCGCCCTGCTTGTACTCTCTCTCTCTGTCAAATAAATAAATGAAATCTTAAAAAATGAATAATTAATTAATTAAAATTTTTAAAATGTTACATAGGATGGAGTGATTTTAGCCAGGCTGCCTCTGGGTGTCATATTTGATTACCCAGGATTCTCTTTGTTCAATAGTTTCTTCTGTCCGTGTGGACATCTGTGGGTGCACTGGTTTCCTGATAACGGGTGGGCTGCCTATCTACTTTTATGGGAGAAAGCAAAGGGCATAGCAGAACAGGCAGGTTGTTTGCCTTTGGGGCCAGTGGGCAATAACATTTTGGAAAGCTAGAGGGAATGCTGCCAAGGGCGATGGCCTGTGCCTGGTGTGTCAGACGCCTACTGAGGAGGCTCCCAAGGCCTCTTTTTGCTTCTCATCTTTGTTTTTTTGCACCCTGGACATCGGGAAAGATTACAGGAATACACCATCACAATGTCTTCTCCATAATTCTATTCTAAACTTCAGTTCCTTTGCGTGAAAAGAAAGAACAAACCTTGGAAAACCCAGCTGTTTTTTTCTAAACTCTAGCACTCAGCACATCTACCATGAGC